GGGCACCATCAGCTTTCTTCACCACATTTGCTTATTCACCCACTTTGTCTTCAGCGATTGTGTCGGGAAGGTGAGCATCATAGAATGCCAGTTTAATAGAACAAAGTATTCCTTGCATTGAGGGAGTACTTGAGTGGAGGCACAATGTCGATCTGCCACTTTAATACTAAATCTATAAACATATGCACATAGATCAATTCCCCCATCCTCATATATAAATATATTTACATATGTACATACCTTTATTTAGACCTCTATAAATGCACTGTGCCTCATAGCTCTTTCCTCTATTTCCTTTTACTTTCCTCTTGTCTCCCTATCATGCTCAGTCTTCATTTGGGTTTCAGTAATTCCTCTTGGTTTCATTATCCTTGATCATGCCCTACCAGGCCTACACCCTCCTTACCACCAATTTGGATCACTTGTTGTTCCCTGTCCCTGGTTTGTTAATATCACTTCCTTTCCCCCCCCCTCCCCCTCTCCCATGTCCCCCCGGAACTGTCGGCCCCTTTGTTTTCTCCTCCAGATTGTTCATCCAGCCTATTTTATTTAGACAGACCTGTGGAGATAATGACATGCACAAAAACAAGACAGAGCAAAATCAAGCAACAAAACAAAGCAACAACAAGCCAATGACAATAAACAAAACAAAACACAACAACAAGAAAGAAAGGCTTGTAGTTAGTTCAAGGACTATTTATTGGCCTTTAGGAGTGTGTTCTAGTCGATTCTGATGGGCTACCAAGCCCTTGCCCCAAAGTCTATATTTGGTATTCCTTGGGGACTTCGTTGTTCTGCTCCCTTGCTGTTCTGTTGCACCCCTTTAGTGTTTTGCCTCGGTGTGATGGGATCAGATTGGGTGGAATTGTTACACTGTGTCTCCAGTGTTGTCCCCCGTAGGGCTATAGGTCAGCGAGGGATGTCGTGTCTCATAGTGGGTCCGGTCATGTGGTCTTCTCTATGGATTGACTGCTCTGAGCGAGAATATCATCCTCAAGGCTTGGTGGGCCAGGATGTGCTCCACTCTCTCTTCCTCCTTCATTTGCTCCCGTGTGCTCTGATCAGACATGCCCCTCTCCCGGAGCTGCAGATTCAGTGCTGTCCTCTGAAATAAATTCTTCTGGGGGGAGGGGCAAGTGTCCATGTAGTTGGGATTGGGGCCGGCCCCTCAGACCTCTCCACTGGTTCCCTACTCCACGCCGGCATGTTGCATTCACATCTTGGAGCACTGGGTTGAGGGTCTGACTTGTTTTCTGTTTGAAATTTTTCAAAGTTCAGACTTTAGGTAACTTTGAGTGGCAGGCACATCATTTGCAGGGAAATAAGCCCTGGCGGTGCTGTAACCCCAAAGGCCTCCTTTATGGCCCCACAAGCTGCTCCAAGGGAGAAAGATGTGGCAGTCAGTTTCTGTAAAGATTGACAGCAGGGGTGGAGAACTTTTTTCCTGCCAATGACTTTGGATATTTCTAACATCATTTGTGGGCCATACTGGTCAAACATTTAATTAGCTCACGTCTACTGTGATTGCTGTAAGTGCTTTTCTTTGGTGAGATGTGTGATGTTAGCTGGTATTGATGATTTAGCAGGCCTTATATGGCCTGAGGGCTGGACATTATTTCCCCCCCACCTCGCCCGATTTACAGCTTTGAAACCTGATGGGGGACAATTCTTCTCTGTCCCATAGGGTCACTGAGTTGGAATCGACTCAGAAGCATTGGGTTTTTAAATAGTTTCTAGTCTTACCTTGTTATAATGTGCAACAAGAATGGAAGATAAAGGAAGCAGAAGGAGGAAGGGTAAAGGGGGCCACTTATCAAACCATGCCCTGAGGATGCTAGCATCTTCCTTCCAACACCTTGAAGTCTTGTGTGCTGTGGTTCCTTCCATGGCCCTCAGAGACAGTCTTTGGAAAATCTCTCTTTCTGCTGAGTGTATAACTCAATACACTGATTTCTAAGCTCCCTGAAGGAAGAAAAGAATTCCCAAATGACCCTCTCTTGCGGCTTAGTTTCTTCGTCACCACTCTAGTCTGGATTGTTTGGTCAGGCTTCCATGGATGCTGTTGCTATGGTTTTGATTTCCATTGACTTTATTCAGGGATAAATAAGGCATCCTCAAAAGACAAGAACTATCTGTGGCCCCAGTAACAATGGTGGGCCTGGGATGATGACTCCCTGCAGGGTCACTGGGTTAGAATTCAGTTCTCATTCCAATCTGGCTAGTTCAATGTGGACCACGTAGAATATAAGGCCCTACAGCGCGGATTCTAGATCATTGCATAGTCTTCTTTTTCTGTTTATGGGCTCCCGGGCAACACCATACTGAAAAGACTGCATTCTGAGAGACAAGGGTGCTGACTGCTAGAAACGCCACAGTCCTTATTGTCTACATCATTCAGGCCTAACGTCCCAAAGTGTCCCAAAGGCTAACTGGAGCATCTGAAATCCCAAGTTAGGAGAACACTATTCTTCCCCTACGATCTCATCAGTATTCTGAGACAGAATGTCTGACCTACAATAGACAGAATACCTATGATAGCTATGAATGCTGCAGTTGTAATAGCTCCAAGACCTATGGCCTGCTTGAGCAAAACCCCCCAACCAAACTCACTGCCATCAAGACAGTTCTGACTCTTAGTGACTCTTTCAGTAGAACTAGCTGCCTGTTTGGGTTTCTAAGGCTATAAATGTTTATAGGAGCAAATAGCCTCATCTTTTCCCCATGACTTGGCTGGTGGGTTTGAACTGCTAACCTTCTGATTAACAGCTCAATATGTAACCTGCTTCACCACCAAAGCTCCTAACTGCCTGACAGAGTTCATGGTTTCTTATAGTTTTACTTGTTCTTAGCATAGCTCCTACTAAGACTGTGTAGTCAGTGTTGTGTTAGAAACCAATTTGAGATAATTTTTTTGTGTTATTGATTTGCTACCAATTCTTTGTTTGCAACTTTGGCATTCCAATCACCAGTTACTATCCGTGCATCTTGATTGCATGTTTGGTCAATTTCAGACTGCGGACATTGGTAAAAATCTTCAGTTTCTATATCTTTGGCATTGGTGGTTGGTGCATGAATTTGAATAATAGTCTTATTAACTGATCTTCCTTGTAGGCATATGGATATTATCCTGTCATTGACAGTGTTGTACTGCAATGTAAATCATGAAATGTTCTTTTTGACAATGAATATGATGCCATTCATCTTTAATTTGTCATTCCCGGCACAGTTGGCCATTATCGTTTGATTCGCAATGGCTGCTCTAGTCCATTTCAGCTTCCTAATGCCTTGGATATTGATCTTTCATTTTTACTGCTTTCCACATTTCCTAGATTCCGACTTCCTTCCTTCTACACACTGATTATTGATGGATGTTTGCAGCTGTGTATGCTCATTTTGAGGCATGCCACATCAGCAAACGAAGGTCCCCAAAGCTTTACTTAAGTCATTAAGGTCGACTATTTTGAGGAGACACCTAGATTTTCCCCAGTTGTATTTGTAGTGCCTTCTAACCTAAGGGGCTCATCTTTGGCATTAATTTTGTGTTCCATGCTGCATCTAAGTTTTTCATTGGCCAGTTTTTGTAGAAGCCGATAACTGAGTAGTTCTTCCCAATCTGTCTTAGTGTGGGTAACCCTGCTGGTATTGGAAATACCAGTAGAATAGCTTCCAGCATTACAGTAACATGCAAGCCACCACAGTGTAATACATAAATGAGTGACTCTCCTATTGGTAGCTATTTTTATTAGCTTCTGCTCTAGTCTTCTTGTGCTTCATTTTACCAAAAAAAAGTGTCTGCTTTTTCTGGGATGTCCTGTGTTTGCCCATTCATTATTTTGTTCATCCATTCATATTTTGTGGTGCTTCTTCCTTATTTCTGTCAACTTGTATAAGGAGGAAATTGTCGTCACTGATATCATGTAGTAGCTGCATAGCTCATTGTCTATTCCTCGTTTATAGTCCATGAAGAAGAGAATGAGCCCACGTGCTTCTTCTATCTCCTTGAGCTGAGGAGATATTTGTTATAGTTCTTGGACATCTTAATTTTCTATTATCCTGAACAATATCATCATCTAGCTCAGTATTCATTTTCTCTGGCAGATAAGGAATGGACTGGATGGATAGTGAACTTCTCGAGAAAAGGATTGGTCTGGTCATCTCAGTACCGAACCCGGTAACTGGCAGCAAGAAAGTAGTTTTTGAATAAATGAGCCATCTCTGTCTTTCCATAACCATCTCATCTCTTCCCAACAAAGTCATCAGTGGAGATGAGGCTTTGACAGACATTCTGAAAGGCAGCTCGTCTTACACATTGTTGTTCTGTGCTTTGCCACCATTCACTCAGAAGTCCCCACTGTTTCAGTGTCCCTCTCTAGGAGCCCAGTAAGGTCTTATTTCCTGTGCTACACGCTTACACCAAAGGTATTTTTCTTTTGATTTCACTTAGCTTTATTCATATTGAGCAAGATATCCTGGAAATCACTCCATATCAATTTATAGATAATTCTTAACTTTTAAAAAATAGCTGCATAATAGACCATTATATGAATCTACCATAGTGTAGTCAACCGGTTTCCTTGACTGGACATTGCTATCACAAACAATATTACATTGAATAGCTTTCTGTTTATGGTATCTTACCCAGGGGAAATTCCTAGAAGTAAGATCGCTGACTTTGAGAGTAAAATATACATGAAGTTTTATTGGATATTATCATGTTCTTCTCCACAGGGGTTGTCTTATCTTACACTTGTGAACAGTGTTTGAGAGTATGTCATTCCTTACAGCCTCACTAATAGAATATGTTGTTAAGCTTTTGAATTTCTGCTGCTCTGATATGTAACAAATGGCATTTTGATGTGGTTGCAATGACATTTCTTTTACACAATGGATTTGAATGTCTTTTATGAAACTAAAAGCTGCTTATGTATCCTTTTATGTAAATCGTCTGTTCGCGTTTATTGCCCATTTTCCTTTTGAGTTTTTGGCCCTTTTTCCTGTATACACACACATACATCTATGGGAAATTGGTCTTTTATCTGTGGCATATATTACAAATATTTTCTTCCAGTTCATTTCTAAACTTTTTTATAGTATAGCTGAATTTGTCAAATTTTTCTCCTAGTGTAAATGAATTTCGAATCATAGTTAAGATTTTCTAGTTTTGAGTCCATGAGCATTTGAAAATTCTGGGGATTTCTCCCCTTCTGATCAGGATTCCTCTATGGAATCTTTGGTCAAACTGTTGGGTAATAGTAGCAGGCATCATCCAGTTCTGCTTTTGTGGAGGCAATTTGCCACACATTCTATCTCATCGTCCTGCTTTAGACTCTCCTTCCTCTGTTGCTCCAGGTGAACAGAGACAAATTATTGTGTCTTGGATGGCCACTTTACAAGCTGTTAAGACCCCAGGCACTACATAGTGAGCCAGGAGGAGGTAGAACTGAAGCATTCAATGTGCTATTAGGCCAATTAATTGGGACATCCCAGAAGTCATGACCTTAAACCTTCAAACCAAGAAACCGAAACCCTTGAGGGTTTAGGTGGTGTAGAAGCAGCCTCAGCAGCAGCTGGTGCTTTGTTGTTGTTGTTGACATTGTTGTAAATATGTCTTTCACAGCATTTTCCATTTGAATTTTTGATGATGGAATGTTTCTAAACAATTTCTCTTTGAACAGGAAAAGATAAAGGATCCACCAAAGAGAAGAAGAATGTAAAGAAGGTTTCAGTGACAAGACCAAATGATATCAAATCAATGTTCATTGCTAGTGCTGGAAAGAAAACTGCAGATGTGAGCTTTATGGCTTTCTTCTATTTTGTTCTTGATGTTGTGAAGTGGCCTTAATATTTTGTTATGCAGACAATAGGTGCTCAATACATATTTGGATGAGGAATTGTTTTCAGCCTCAGTCATTAAGTTGGTTGCAGAATTTTGGGTGAATTTGGCTAGTTCTTGGAAATACAGAGCTGGAAAAAATGAAAAGTTGACAGTGTTAAATTTTAGGAATTAATGGGGATTATGGGATATAATTAAAATAGAGCAAATGGGAACTGTAGATTTAGGAGTTGCATAAGGTGGCTTTAAACAGTTTGTGGAAAATAGAATTAAAATGGAGTTTTTCCAAGAAATTTTTTTCTAGTTTCCAAGTATATTATTTTTTTAAGCAGTGTTCTTGACATAACTCACATCCCATACAATTCAGTGGTTTAAATATGTTAAAAAGAGTGGTGTATCCCATGAACTTTTTGAAGCCCCCTAGTGTGAAATAGTAATATAGTGGTGGTGAAAATGGGTGAAGAGCAGATTAACTTTCAGTGTGAGGAATGAAGAGCCAAGGGCCAACTAGATTGATTCTTCTTTTCACAATTCAGTGGTTTGGGTGACAATTTTACATGTGGCGCTTATTCATTTTACCTTCGTTTTATAATTTCTAGAAAAACGTGGACTTGTCCAAGGATAATCTACTAGGTAACCTTCTACAGGATCTGAGCACGGAGGTAAGTTGATTTCTGAGGAGTTGTATAATATGCAGGGAGCATAGGCTGTAGAGACAGTTGAGTAATTATAAAAACTATTTTTCGAGTTTAAAAAAGACGCAAGATCCCTACCACCAAAAAAAAATATATATATATTTAAGGAAATCTTTCAATTGGTTTCTTCATATATATATATATAAAATCTAAGGAAATCTTTCAATTGGTTTCTTCTCAGCATTTTAGGTGAGTGGCTCATATATATATATATATATATAAAATCTAAGGAAATCTTTCAATTGGTTTCTTCTCAGCATTTTAGGTGAGTGGCTCCCAGCTGTTACAAGCTCGATTCTGTAGATGGAGCCGCTTGAGTGTTTGTTTGAAGGAGTACGAATATACACAGAAGTCAGTTCGGTGAATGCACCCTGCTTGTGCTCTGCTACCGTAGTGTTTCTTCCCGAAATAGATCGAAGCCTGTCAGTCGGCACATTTAGGTTTGAGAACCTTGTCTTGATTTCTGAGGGGCAGGGAGGGCAAAGACAATGAGCTGCCCTGGTAGAACTCAAACAGACTGACTTTTGTTGCCCTGTGCTCCGCTGTGACTATTGCACAGATAGACGGACAGAACTCTCACTTCGAAGTGTATAATCCTCCATCAGTGGCCACTCGTTACCACAACTAACACCAACCTCATGTGGTTCTCCCTCGATGTTTGAAAAATGTAACATTCTGGGAAAGACAAGTGAAAAGTATGTTGAGTTTTAAAAAAGAAAAACAAAATTGGTGAAGTGTGGGTTCAATATCTATTCAATATCTATTCTGGTGTTCTTGTGAGTCTAATTTTGTTGCTATAGTAACCACAGTGCATGAACATAGATCTGTGGGGGGAGCAGGGAAGGTGAAAAAAATGTTTTACTCATCGGACTTCAATGGGTAAAGAAATGTCCTTTTTTTCTGTCTTGGGATAAACCAAGCATGTCAGTCACTGTCCGCCTTAACCTTCCTTTTAGAAATCTCAAATTACCGTCCCACCTGTAACAATACCGAAGAAGAAAAGAATCATTGGAGCTAGAAGTCCATTCTTGGTGGAATCCCCCAAGGTCAGAGAGGCAGAAATGCCTTCAGTCTCAATCTCCATGATTTTGTAATCTTTACTTTGTTGGCTTTGGGCTTCATTTTTGTTTTGATTTAGAACTTCCATGTCATCAAGAGTGTTATGTATTTCTTCAATGTGTGCATGTACCTTTTTTCTTTTTTCCTCCCATAGTAACGTAGTCACTCAACAAAACACAAACCAAAACGTCTCCTCCCTCAAGTTGACTCTAACTCACAGGGGCCCCCACACAGAGTAGAACTATAGTCACTAGTATGGGTTTATTTATTCTGGGTATTCCAATTGTGCTAATGCAATCATTTTCCTTCCAGAAACACTCTCCCCCTGCCCACCCACCCCCTCAGTAAACCTATGGTAGCAGCAACATAATTGAAGCTGTTAGGTGGCTGCTGAAAATCTTTTGTTAAATGGGAACTATTCCATCTGGTCAAGATAGGACAGCTACAGATTTTTAGTCTTCAGGCCCAACTGGCTAAACCTGTCACATTATTTATAGGCAGTCTTTTCAGGAAAAGCAGCTTCCCCTGTGCATCAGTTTGCTGATAAGTCTGGCATCAGGCAGAAGGCCAAGGGCGCTGAGCAGTTGCAGAGTGCTGTCACACAAGGAGGCCCTGTCAAAGTGGAACGTGGCAGAGGTTCTGAAGGTATTGTAATGACAAGTTTCAGTGAAAAATTTGAATTGGTAGCAGGAAGTTGGAAACAAAACAAAACAAAACAATACTCAATAGTCTAATCTAGGGCTGGGGGACCAAAATGCCAGGACAGAGCAGGGAAAGAGGTGGGCAGCTGAGTGCGTGGGAGGACTTTCTGCTCCGTGGCAAGAGTGCAGCAGGTGAGTGTGTGGTGGTGTGTGTAGGAGACACAGCGCAGGCTGCACGTCCGGAAGACAAAGAGGAGCCGGAGGCCATAGATTTCGAAGATGGTGATTTTGATGATCCTATGGAACTTGAGGTGACCGTGGAGCCTGTTACTGCTAAGATACATGACCACAAGAATGAACCAGCCAAAGGGGTGAAGCACGTGGCAGAGCCCTGGAAAGAGACCAAGGCACACTTGTAAGCATTGCATGACTTTTCTTGCAAATCCCGCTGCAGTTATTTTGCTGGATTTGGGAAGATATTGTTTCATTTTCTTTTTGAATGTGATTTCTGTAGAGGAAGTACTGTCTCCAATGATTCTTATATGGACATGGGTGAGGAAGAAGAGGAAAGCTATTTATCTCAGGATGCTCACTTGGATAACAGTCACCTCCCACTGACGAAAGGGGAAAATGGGGAGCAAATGTTGCAGTTTTATTGGCTGGATGCTTACGAAGATCAGTACAACCAACCAGGTAATCTTCCCGAAGTTAACTATATGTCTTTAACAACAGTAGTTGCTCCAGTTTTTGTGATGCTCACTCATTGTAAGTACATGAGCCACTGGATGGAGCAGAGCTGTTTGGGTGCATAATCCTAGTAGATGCTCAATTTCCAAATCATGTGGTTTGGGAATGTGTTTTTGTAGTTCACTATTGCTGTATCTGAAGTCCTAGGAGTTCATTTTCAATGGAGTCAGTCAATAATTCCTTTGCTCAGTAATTTTTGTTTTACTGAACACATGGTATATGCCAGGTAATTTGATAGGAATTTGCTGGGTTGGATGTGAGTGTTGAGGGAGGAATCTTGAATGTTTCCCAGGTCATCTGAATGAGACAGGACTGTGAATTAATGACTCACAAAATGCCAGGATCTTACTAGCATACGTTGATGTGGTTGTCTGTGCGCCCACCTCATTGTTACTGGTTTCTGGGTGGTAGACTGACAAGTATGGTTACTTTAGCCATGCCTATTTTTTCCCCACCCATTGCCCCAACCGTGGATGCCCATTGTACAATTTCTGGGGACACCAGTGTCATGCAGCCTTCCTGGAGTCCGTACTGAGTTTGCTCCTTGTGCTTTGCTCTTCTTACTTACCACTGTCCTACGTCTCATTTACGGGGCCCAGGCAACTAGAATCATTCTTTTTTTTTTTTTTCTTTAAAAAAAATCATTTTATTTGGGGCTCATACAACTGTTATCCCAATCCATACACACATCAATTGTGTAAAGCGCATTTGTACATCGTTTCTCAAAACATTTTCTCTCCATTTAAACCCCCGACATTAGGTCCTCATTTTTCCCCTCCCTCCCCACTCCCCCCTCCCGCATGAGCCCTTGATAGTTTATAAATGGTTATTTTGTCATATCTTGCCCTGTCCGATGTCTCCCTTCATCCACTTTTTGATTGTCTGTCCCCCAGGGAGGAGGTCACACACAGTTCCATGTAATCGGTTCCCTCTTTCCTACCCATTCTCCCTTTACCCACCCTGTTTTGCCACTCATACCACTGGTCCTATAGGGCTCATCCGTCCTGGATTCCCTGTATTTTCAGTTCCTATCTGTACCAGTGTACCTCCTCTGGTCTAGCCAGTCTTGCAAGATAGAATTCGAGTCATGGTAGTGGGAGCGGGGAGGAAACCTTTAGGAACTAGAGGAAGGTTGTATTTCTCATCATTGTTACATCGCACCCTGACTGGCTCATCTCCTCCCTGAGACCCCTCTGCAAGGGGATCTCCAGTGGAGAATCATTCTTTAAAACTCCTTTCTTTTACTTTCTTCAAGTCTTGTCCATTCTCTCTTCTTAAAATAGACAACCTATTTTCTTTTACTCAATCACCGTCACCACTGTGGGACCCCTGACCCTTTCTTGCCTGTCAAAAACCTTGGCCACTCTCCTACTTGCTTTTTAAGCTGTGTTTCTCCATTATTACTTTCAGGCTGACTGGTCAGAAGGGTAATTTGGACCATGTCAATAATAATAATTCTTCAGTGGCTTTCCACTGCTGTACCAGGAAGTCCCAACCCCTTAGAACAACGTCTGATGGCTGCTCTGTAGAGATGTTATGCCTCAGAAATAGTGCCTGTATGTCCCTTGCTATTTTAAAATACCGGTTTCTCTTTAATCAGGGTGTGTGGTCTAACTAGAATGCCCTTATCTCTGGCCTCTTCCTCCAAATTCCACTTGGGTGGCATCTCCTGCAGGTCTTCCCAAGACTCCAGACTGGCCTACGAGCTTTTCACCTGCAAGCCTCTCAGACCAATTCTCCTAGCATTTGTCGTATTATTTTGAAATGATCCATTTCTGTGTTTTTCCCTTCCTCAAAAGAAGCTTGGGATTTTAGATTTCCACCATGAAACACAATGCCAGACACATAATAGGTAGTCAGTAAGTGTTTTTTGAAATCCAGTAGATGTGCACTAAAGGGTTCAGAGAACCAGAGTTACACCTGCTGCTCTTGCTGAGTTAGCCTCCTGAAACCTCATAGTAGTGTAGCAAGGTGGCTTGGAAGCTTCCCCAGCCCCTAAGGTGAATATGCAGATAAAGCATTTGGGGCTAGTGCCAGTTGCTAAGGATCAGAACTGGAAGAAGTTGCAGCCCTTGTTATGTCTAGCCATCGATGCTGTTATTAGTAAATAGTGCCATTTTGCAGGGCGAGGGTCTGGAACGGTACTGTCTACCATGGAAGACCCTAGACTCTTTCAAGTTCATGCATTAAAAGGAAATAAAAATAAATTCTGACTTCTCAGGCATCAGTCCCATTTTGAGTAGTCAGTGGCCACAGAGTTCGAGCAGCTATCATTGCACTGCACAGATCCTGACCAATCATGTCGTTTCAAACGTTTCTACCAGACCGCGCTGGTCTATAGCAATGGGTGTCAAGATTGTGGCATTGAAACACAGCTCTACTTATGAAACATTTGACTTATGATATTGTTGAATTGTTATTGAATTTCTGATCCTGAGTCCTGGTGGTGTAGTGGGTTTTGTGTTGGGCTGGTAACCATAAGGCAAGCTCTTTCAAACCACTAAGCTGCTCTATGCGAGAAAGATGAACTCTATTCTCGTAATGAGTTACAGTCTTAGAAACCCACAGGGGCAGTTCTACTTTGTCCTCTCAAGTCACCATAGGGAGAAGTTGACTTGGTGGCAGTGAGTTTGGTTTGTTTTGAGTGAATGTTTGGTTCCAACCATAGTCACAGATAGGCTTTTCCCACCAATACTGAGAAACCTTTCACAGTTGAAAAAGACTGCGATCTGCCATCCAGATATTAAGGTAAAATGAAATGTTTGGTATCAGAGACGGTTTCCCAGGTCGTCCAGTACAGTAACTCATTATGTTGTTCCTCTGTCCTTGGATTGGACTTTGCCTCCTGGCAGCACCCATGCTTGCTGCAACAAAATGAATGTGGCCTAGTCCTGCGCCATGCCCACAATCACTTGTGAATCGAACTGTTGTCATCCAGAAGGTGCTCACTGGCTGAGTTTGGAAGTCAGTTGCTAGACCTTTTCTCCCTAGCGGTCTTAGTCTTGATGCGCATCCCTCTGAAACCTGTTTGACATCATTCTAACTTGCCAGCCTCTATGGGCAGACGGGTGATGGTGAGCTACCCAGAAGGTACATTGGCTGGGGAATCAAATCGTCTGAAGTCTCTTGCATGGGAGACACAAATTCTTTTACTGAGGAAATGGAGGCTTAGAAAGATCCAAATGGCCAGCTCTTCAGTGAGAGTGCTCAAGGCACCCTACCCTTGGCCCACTCTGCTGTTCCTTGGCCCTTCTCAGGTTGTATCCTCTGTAAAGATACATTTTCCTCGGTGATTGATGCCAAGGGGTTAAAAAAATAAGATGGTTTAAAAAAAAGCAACTCTCTAATCTCAGAGGGTTGAAGAGTTTCATTGCAATAGAAGGTAACGATCCCTGAGCTTGGGGAAATCAATGTTGCTAATATAAACTAAGTACTCCCAAAGACCCTGCCATTGTCTCTCAGTTTCTTCCTGATTCTAAGTCAGTCAGTTGTTGCTGAATGCTCCATAATTATGAAAAGAAGCTTACTCTTTGCATATGGGAAGATATCCTGTCTTCATTATGACTTTTTCAAGGTTGAATAATCCTGACTGCACCTGGTTTCAGCTAGTAACTTTGGGGGGAATGTAATCTTTGTTTACCATGATCTTTTTGTGGTAAATGAGGCATAAACAGTGTCAAATGTGTTGCCTGAAGTGTGATATTAGTTTGACTGTAAAATGAGCTATTTGAATCTTTGAATCCAATATTAGGGTCTTTATTTTTCTTTGCATGGAATTTTGTTTTTCCGTCTTTAACTGTCGTGAGGGATGACTTTTAATTTTTCGAACTACTGTGGTTTTTTTTCTCTTTTTTTAATCATCTCCACAGTCCTCCCTTCCCTTCTCCGCCACCTCCCCTCATCTCCCCACAGCTGAAAATCACACAGCTCTTTTTAAGAATTTTAGTTATCTGTAGAAATGAACATTCTTCGAAGGTCTTATTTCTGTCAGGACAAATGACAAAAAGAATGCACTGATGAGCTGTCTTGTGAGACTGGGGTAATCGCCCTTATGAACAGTAGCCGATGCATGTGCCAGGAGTTTCTTAGTGCCTCTTATGAGTGTCTGTTGATTGGCTATGCTAAGTTCCTGCTGGTTAATTATTCACAGGTCCCAATATTTTGCAAAGTGGCCATCTCTTGAGCAAACTGTTAAATCTTTGGACAGACTATTAAATATTTGGAGCCCATGTGCTATTTTTCAGGGGCCATGCCTTGATGTCTCAGAAGGCGTGTTTTTTTTTACCTGTGGTATCCATTGCTTGTCCTGGTGGTGTAGGGGTTAAGTGTTGCAATGTCAGCAGGTCAAAACCACCAGCCACTCCACCAGAGAAAGATGAGGCTGTCTACTCTCTTAAAGAGCTATGGTCTGAAAACCCAGGGGTTAATAAATAAATAAGAAAGATAGTTCTACTGTATCCTACAGGGTCACTGTAAGTTGGAATTTGGATCCATTACTTGGGAATCTCAAAAGGAGAATGGCTCTTACCTTGATTACTAGACCATGTAAGCTGGAACGGAGACAAAAGGCACATTCCAAGTAGCATCTTAAGTAGCCTGTGTGGTAGGAAGGGGGATATAGGGGATAAAGGTAGGACCCTGTTATGAAATACTATTTTGTGGACTAAACTCAATGAGAATTACTCTTTCCCCACCATAATTTTACATTATGGAAAAGTAACTGATGCACCGTAGGTCATCCTAATAGACCAAACCACAAAAGCCAAACCTACTGCCAACAAGACAGTTCCTATTTATCGTGACCCTGTCGAACAGGATAGAAGGGCCCCTGAGGCTCTGCAAGACTGTAACACTTTATAGGAGTAGAAAGCCTGGTCTTTCTCCTGCAGAACTGCTGACCTTGAGGTTAATAGCTCAATGTGTAATCACCACCCCACCAGGGCTCCTTATCCTAATAGATACTACTTTTTATCAGAATTGAGAGTTCTGAGAAGGAGCATTGTATCCGGTTCTTAGGTCTGTGAGTTCTCACAAGAAGGTTAAATATGAGATTTGTTGGAGAATAGTGTGCTCTTCTGGTTTCTCTGAATCTGGGTAATTCTCGCATTAGTGAAAATGTTTATGTGCAAGCTAGAGAGTGAGTCTGCCTCCTTTTTTCTCAGTGGTCCACAGATTTTGCCACCATGATAGTATTGTATGGTGAAAGCCCTTGAATGACACTGGTTGGGGAGTGGCAGCAGATAGAAATTTGCTATGAAAGCATTATCACAAAGGCATATATGAGTGTGCCTTTATGTTACTTTTTAATTGAATGTAATGAAAATGTTCTTCATGGTTTTCCATAATTCTTTCAGGTGTGGTATTCCTGTTTGGCAAAGTTTGGATTAAATCATTCAGTTCCCACATGAGCTGCTGTATCATGGTGAAAAACATTGAGCGGACGCTCTACTTCCTTCCCCGTGAGACGGTTAGTGATTAGCTTTTTATTCCCGGTAATTGTATGTACCCTACATTCTGTATTTTTCCTACCAACCCTCTTCTGCCACAAGGCTGTCAGGTATCCACAGACCCGAGGCTTCTTGCTAATGACCCTTCCACTGAGGGCCAGCAGTTCCCTTACCAGATCAAAAATCTATTTCCATTGATTTGATTCTGACTCCTAGCAGGAAGAAAGCACAGGATTTCCCAGGCAGACTTCTTTATGGAAGCAGGCTGCCACATCTATCTTCTGAGTGCCTAGCCTTTTGTTCAGCTAGCCAACTGTTGACCCAGGGCACCTCCAGGCCTCTGATAGCGCTCAATTCAAGTTTGGGAAAAGCCAGAGAAATGGAAGCTCAGTTTTTCAACTTGTTAGAGCATATAAATGTCAATGCGTTTTATTTGATCATGCTTTTTCCCCCCTCACTTCTCATTTCTGTAATTGACGCTGAGCGTATATTACACTAAAATGTGACATGTCATTTGGGTTCACTTTTCACATTGGCATTGCGTAAGCAGCCATGCCATTCTCTCTATGGCCACTGAATATAGTGCCTTTAGTGGGACTTGGCATCCCCACTTCCTTCCAGCCCTGTGTGCTCTCCTTCTACGTTAACTGGAGCATCTTGGTCAGAATTGACGTACTCTACCATTTCGAAAGACTTTATTTCTCTGATTTGCTTTTGTGATGCTATTAGTGGGGATTCAGGCATTGGGCTTGGCCTTAGGACATTTTTTTTTTGTCTTTGTCTATTTTTGATCTTATAAGACTGGCATATTAATGTGTAAAAGGGTGTGCATACATAGAAATGGGTTTAGACTTAGGTTTTGGGTTGTTAAGAAGATCTTACATACAATTATTTTTTTCCCCACCCATGCAACTCCTCTCTCCATGGGAGAACAGAAGATTGACCTAAATACAGGGAAAGAAACTGGAACTCCAGTGACAATGAAAGATGTCTATGAAGAATTTGATGGTAAAATAGCAACAAAATATAAACTTATGAAATTCAAGTCTAAGGTTTGTATTTAATGATGGATTTTCCCAGTTCTGTTTCTTAATTGTTTATTTCCTGATTTAGCACATTGTTGGTGCAAAATGTTTTCTGCATGACTAGAATTCACTGCTTAGAGATTTCATAGGTATAAGTGTAAGATTCATAAACATGAATTTTTTCCTTCCTCTTTAAGCTGTTTATAAAGCATAATGTGAATAGGAAGATAACTCCTAGCCAATCAGTTGCCTACAGTGCTTACAGTAGGTCTTGGTCTCTTATTCTGAACTAGAGAAGAACTGATCTTGTTTCTATTAGTTATTGCCAGGTTGTCTTGGTAGACATTTAAGTTGAGTTTTTCTCTTCTTTTTTTTATCATTTTATTGAGGGCTCGTACAACTCTTATCACAATCCATACATCCATCCATTGTGTCAAGCACATTTGTACATTTGTTGCCATCATTTTTTAAAAAGCATTTTCTTTCTATTTGAGCCCTTGGTATCACTCCACCCTTCCCCCTTGTGAACCCTTGATTAATTACTAATTTCATATCTTACACCATCTCTTGTCTCCTTTCACCCAAATTTCTATTGTTCCTCTCCCACAGGGGTAAGGCGGGGTTTAATGTTTAAAAGTCAGGCACTAGAATACTTTTGATAGAATAATAAAAATATTTTATTTGTAGGATAGATAAGGGAAATAAAATTGTTTTTAGTAGTGAGTTAGTTGATGCCTCTGGCCATAATGATGAGGATGTAGCTCACTGAACATACTGATTGCTATTACTAGTGATTATAAAAAAGGGAGGATCATGTTGCTGAAGAGAAGGCTAACGTTTTGAATTCATTGAGCTTTGTTGATGGCCAATTGCTTACATCCCTAAAGTGTGAACTTGGACAAGCACTGAATGAATGGCTTCTCTGTGCCTGTTTCTTCATCTGCAAGCAATAATGTTTATTTGAAGAGTTTTTGGAAAGGTTAAATTAGTGACTTTATGAAATGATTAGAATATTTTATTTGAAGAGTTTTTGGAAAGGTTAAATTAGTGATTTTTTATGAAATGATTAGAATAGTCTTTGGCACATAGGAAGAACTCAGTATACATAAACTAGGAGGGTAAGTAAAATATTGCTATAAAATAATTTTCATAAAAATCAGAAAATCAAAATTTGAAGCTTTTGTTTCTCAATCCATCCTTCATCTATGGCTGTACATGGCTGAAGGCTGTATTTCCATTTTTCTAGCCCTTCTTCGGAGAGTACTGCACTTTGATTTTACACCATGTCAAAATGGCAGTATTAGCATCCTTGATGGGCTCAAATTGTGTTCCTTTTCAATTTGAGTTTTGGGAACAAAAATGTCTGAAAGGGTTAGATCAGGGCTGGAGAGTGGATGAGTAAGGTTTCCCAATGAATTTCTCTTAGGACAGTTCATAGGCTCATCATCTTTGAAAGATGAGCCAAGTACATTGTCATGATGGGGGGAAAATCCCCCTGTAGTACTTTGCTGGTCTTTTCCTCACCAATACAGTTTTCAATTTTCTGAAAACTTCTTCCTCATAAGCTCCTGTGCTTGTCTTGTGTTCTTCAAGAAAATCTATGAAGATTACCCCGAGAATTCCAAAAATCAGTCACCCAAACCTTCTGAACAGATCTCCTTGCCTTGATTCCATTAAGCAGAGTCCCTTAAGAAGCCATTATTTGGGACAAAGGAAAGTAAAAGAAAATAGAGGAAAGAACTAGGAGGCAAAGGGCATTTATAGAGGTCTAAATACAGGCATGTACATTTGTAAATAGATATGTATATGATGATAGGGAAATAGATCTATGTACATGTACTCAAGTACTCCTTCAGTGCAAGAACACTTTGTTCTAATAACCTGGCATTCTGTGATGCTCACCTCCTCCCACGATTGCTGAGGACAAATGGGTGCATAAACAAATGTGGTGAAGAAAGCTGATGGTGCCCGGGTATAGAGCGTCTGGGGTCTTAAAGCCTTGAAGGTAAACAAGCAGCCCTCTAGCTGAGAAGCAACAAAGCCCACATGGAAGAAGCACGTCAGCCTGTGTGATCATGAGGTGTCAATGGGATTAGATATCATGCAGTAAAGACCAAAAACAAAAAATTAAATCTGTTTGAACGAGGGGGAGGGTGGAGTGGAGACAAAGCCATCTGTAGGCAACTGGACATCCCCTTACAGAAAGGTCGCAGGGAGGAGACAAGCCAGTCAGGATGCAGTATAGCACTGATGAAATTTACAACTTTTCTCTAGTTCTTTAATGCTTCCTCCACCCCACTATCATGACCCCAGTTCTGCCATACAAATCCTGGTAGATCAGAGCATGTACACTGGTACAGATAAGAGTTCCTAACACAGTGAATCCAGGACCGATAAACCCCTCAGGACCAATATTGAGAGTAGCCATACCAGGAGGGTAAGGGGAAGGTAGGGAAGAAAGGGGAACCTATCATAATGATCAACATATAACCCCCTCCCAGGAGGATGAACAACAGAAAAGTAGGTGAAGGGAGACAGTGGTAAGTGTAAAACATGAAAAAAATAATTATAAATTATCAATGGTTCATGAGGGAGGGAGTGGAGGCAGGAAAATGAGCTGATACCAAGGGGTTAAGTAGAAAGAAAATGTTTTGAAAATGATGATGGCAACATATGTACTAATGTGCTGCAAAACGGCTGTATGTATGGATTGTGATAAGAGCTGTAAGAACCCCAGTAAAATGATTTTTAAAAAAGACAGAAGAAGCCACTATTTTGATTGAAATTTTTTTTGAAGGCACCCTAATGCAACTAAGACAAGTGTTTTACTGAGAGAACAGTTTTGGAGCCATCCAGTGATCACAGAGATAAACTTTAAAACCTTTTGTTTGGAATAAACCCATGTATGTATGAACTTGACCCCCAGTAGTAATACTTTTTGACTTACCCTCGTTCAATCATAATGCTAATTCTTTCTTCTTTTAGGAATATAGGGAAAAAAGGGAAGATAGACTTACATAATTATCAAATAGCAAATGATTTAATGCATAAACATAGTTTAAATTTTTAATCTGCTCTTGAGTACAAGTATTTCTAGGTTCTCTAGTAGCTAAGGCAAACCACCAGGTGTTTGGGGTTCCAGGTGAAGGGAAAAGATGCCCTTTGGTTTTGCTTACCTTTCTGTTCTCTAAGGGTGCTCTCTTTGTGATGATGGTGAAACATAGTCATGTGCATTGTGTATATATTGCTTGTTTCCATTTGTGTTTAGTTTTCTGTCTTAGCGATTTTAAAATCTCTGCTTACACAGATAGTGGTAAAGAACTATGCTTTTGAGATTCCTGATGTCCCAGAAAAATCTGAGTACTTGGAAGTTAAATACTCGGTAAGTCAAACACAGAAAATTACTGGTTTGGGCTAAAGAGTGACATGTCTCAATATTTGACCTTTCACTTTCCTTTCAATGAGGGGTATTGGCAAGGCTCCGTAAGCCCACCTTTCATTGAGGTACACTTACAGTAAGGAATAATTTGAAATGGAGAAAATGAATTTAAGGACATAGACTGCAAGTTTCATTGCCCGTCTCTGCTTTTAAGTGTGCATTTCTAAATAAATAAGTTGAAATAGCATTACTATTTGTCAAATGGAGTGAATGCTGTTTAGTGGCATTGAATAGCATTAACCATTGAAGTGTCCCTTGTGAGCTGTGGAAAAGGTGAAAGAGGAGTGCCAGTGATTGGCAAGGTCATTGTCACAGGGTGTCAATTAACTGGCCCATAACTTCTTTAAAAAAAGTTTTTTTAAAGCCGTCCTTTTCCATCGTTCTGGTATTTGGATCCCACATGTTGGACAAAGGAAACTTAGATTTTGGTGACAGTGGTACCGAGAGTACCACTGATTGTGCCCTGCTCTCTTGCTTGCTTTCTTCTAATGGAGTGGCACTTAACTTGGTGATTATTTTATCGGTAAGGCATGTGCAGCTCTGGTCAGAAATTCTCTTTCTGGGGGAGCTTCTTGGCCTATTTTTTTTCCTAATGGGTGTCATCAAGATGCATTATTTTGTCATTGTGAATTGTTTTTGTTTCCTACTGTGAAATGTTTTGGATTTCATTTGTGGCAAATTACATTTCTTATATATCCAAAGGATTTCTTCTGGTGCTCCATATAGAGGCTTTTGTTTACTTCAAATATAGACTTTGGAAAATGTGAAGTAATAGTTATTTTAACAAAATCCCCCCACCCCCACCCCCCTTTTCTTTGCAGGCAGAATTACCACAGCTTCCTCCGGACTTGAAAGGGGAAACGTTCTCTCATGTATTTGGGACGAACACATCTAGCTTGGAACTGTTCTTGATGAACAGAAAGATCAAAGGACCTTGTTGGCTTGAAATAAAAAATCTACGTAAGCAAGACTTTGTTTACTCTTAGTTTACAAAATAGGAGTGAAGAGATTTGTTCTTTTTATTTTAGCGTGTCCACTTCGTTTTTTTTTAATTGGTCTCCTCAAGATTTTCCTGTGAGTGGGTATTGAGAAGGCATTTGGAGTCATTTTATCTCTGTAGTGCCTCACAGTTTAACCTGACGGAGACCTCAGTCCAAGCAGCCCACATATTGCTTTGTTGTTTAAACATCCCTCTGCCGTAGCTAATATGGCCCAGCTGTTAACATAGTGAGTTGCTGACATTTAAAAGACGGGGAGTTTAAGGCCTACTGTAGGTAGTGCTTATTTGGCCCTTTTAATACTTGAATCTGTATTTTGCTCTGTCTTCATGAATCCTCTTGAAAAAGATTTGTGTTTCACTCTAAGGCAGTCCTTTGTTTTAAACTTCTTTTGGAACCTGGATTCTTTGAACATATGTGTGCACATGGAATTGGAAGAATGGTTCAGTCATTAAGAAAAACCAAACAAGCAAACAAAACCCCCCAACAAATTCTGATGCATTGAATTGGTTCCAACTCAAAGCAATCCCATAGGACAGAGTGGACAGGTTCTCAACTGTGTGGAGCTGCTGGTGGGTTCAAATCACGGACCCACTGTGTAGTAGCCAAGTGTAGTTTTTCTTTTTCAGTGAATAGCTATTGAATATTGCCTCTCTTCTCTTCCAGAGTTCTTGAATCAACCAGTCAGTTGGTGCAAATTTGAGGCAATGGTTTTGAAGCCAGAACTGGTGAATGTAATTAAAGAGAACTGTCCTCCTCCACTTGTGGTGATGTCTTTGAGCATCAAGACAGTTCAGAATGCAAAGACACACCAAAATGAGGTGAGGTGGGCACAGCGAGCTCTCTCTTGTTCTTGAAGCCTTAGTGGGCTTATGGTAGATGAAAGTGTATATAATAAATACATACATCAGGCCCTGCCTGAAAACTAATGAGGTGTCAAGTATAATCATTTCATAAGAAGTAATTATTCTTTGATTGAGCTAGTGTAAGCTCAATCTATTCATGGATCTATGGTTTATCTATATCTCTGGTTCACCATAGAGGTCTCACTGTCATGTTACTTCAGAGAACAGATGCTGTTCACTCAGCAGCTAGCAAGATTGCCATGCTTGTGCCCCTTGGTCACCACCTCCTCCCCCGTTTGGGAATATTTTAAAGCTAATCTTACATACTGTGTCACTTTTACCTACATTTTGGTATGCATTTTTCAAATCATGCCCTTTCTATGTTATTATTAAAATACTATTATCACATCTGATAAAATCAACAGTGATTTCTTGATATATTCTAAAATTTGCGGTCCATGTTTATGTGGTCCTGTTTCTCAGAAATAGTTTTTAACAGTTGGTTTATTTGTATTAAGATTTGTGAAAGGTTAATGTTTATGTTTGGGAAACTCTTTGAAATGGAAGCAGTGCTCCCTTAACTCCTTCCAGGTTTCTTCTTTACTTTTCAGTGACATTGACTCTGACGAATTCCTGTTAACTGTCATGTGGGGTGTCCCACATTCTGTATTTTGTTCTCTTCCTTGTGGCGCCCTTGACTTTCTTCCTCCATGTCAGCAGTCACTATTGGACTGCCGAACTTGGGGCAGTGAGCCAAATATAGCCCACCACCTGATTATGTAAATACAATTTTGTTGGAACACAGCCATGCCTACTCGTTAATGTATTGTCCATGACTGCTTTCACATTACAGTGACAGAGCTGAGGTGTCATGGCATGAACTCCATGGCCGGCCAAGACTGAAAATGTCTCTGACTTGCCCTTTATAGAAGAAGTGTTCTGACCCTTTGCTCTGTCCTCGTTCCTGGGTACTGTGAGTTGGCTTTAAGGCTTCAGCTCCAAAGTCCTGGTTGATCTCTGGTTGTGTTTTTTACCCATCAAATCCACGATTTCACAGTGATGCTATAAGCAAGGGTAACAGTGCGTTGCTCGGCTGTACAGCAGGAGGAACCAACTCATTGTTTTGAAAATTGGTAAATAAAAGCATTGACTCAAACATTTATCCTGACTCTTTCCAAACATGTACTGGACCTCAGGTAACCAAAATAATTCAGGAGAGCCAGTTTCTCTCCACAAGTTTCCAGCTAATAAATAATGAAGGAAAAACAGAATATTCACATTTTGTGATCCAGTAAATCCTATGAAGTACTGCATCTAGGTGGAGGCGGTGTGTTCATCAGTGGCTGCTAATGATTAAAATCAGAACCAAACATTATATGCCTTTTGTACACCTAGTCAATCCCATGTCTAAAGAATTCTCGCCCCCTCCAAAAAAATTAAACTTATTTTTGGTAAGCCTTTAGTTCTCACTATGAATTTGCAGGCAAAACAAGGGAGGGAAATTCTATTAGGAGTTCTGGTGAGCTGCTAATCACACAATTGGTGGTTCGAACCCACCAACCACTCCCAGGGAGAAAGCTGAGGCTGCCTACTTCTGTAAAGATTTAAGATTTAAGGTATTTTTTTATTCCATTTTCTACAAGTTTTTGAAGCCCCCTTGTGCAGGATCTGTTAAATGATACTATTGTAATACAAGCAGTGGAATCCATACTATGGGCATTTGACAGAACAAATGACTCTGGTTTTTCAGTGACTAAATTACAGGGCATTAATAGGTGGGCAGGGGTTATAGCTATAGTTTTATATGTCCACCAGTTGCTAAGTCTAGGCCTTAAAAGTGGTAAATAAATTGAGACAGTGGAGAAAACATGAAAGTTTGAGTCTTGCCTGGATATTTAAGAATATTAAGAAATGAATATTATTAATTGGATAGCTAATAGGATTGTGAACACACACATGCATAAAGTGTAATTTGAATCATGCCTGGATATTTAATTATAATAATTTAATTATATTTGGTGAGTTAATTAGACTATGATTGTATCTGTGTCTGTATTTTTAATACCATTATCTGCATCATTATTTTATTGTTAGGAGCCCTGGTATGGTGGGTTATGTTTGGCTGTTAACTAACGTCAGTAGTTCGAAACCACCTAGCACTCCTCAGCAGAAAGACAAGGCTTTCTGTTCTCATAACGGTTTATAGTCTCAGAAATCCACAGGGACAGTTCACTTCTCCTATGGGGTCGCTTCGCTCAGTCAGAATCGACTCGATGGCACTAAGTGTGATTTGGGGGAGTTATTGTTGCTGTGGCATCCCTGGGTGGGTTTGCATCAACAACCTTTCAGTTAGTGGTCCATTTGTACCACCCAGTGACTCCAGATTATATATATATTTTTAAATTATATTATTTAAAGTTGGTGATTCTCAATTGAGGAAGGAGGGAGGTTTAGCTTCCCAGGGGACATTTGGAGACAGTTTTGACTGTCACGATTGCAAGGGCATGTGGAGTGCTATTGACAACTAATAGATAGATGCCAGAAAACCATTAAATATCCTATGATGCACGGGAAACTTCCCCCTCCCTGCAAAGATTTATTTATAGCAAAAGTGCTGAGGTTTTAAAGCCATATGTTGTGTCTTTCTGTGTATGCTTCATAATCTGGAGGAAGGTGGGATGTGCTAGGGCTACAAAGGAGTTGATCATTGAAGTTGGTTGTTGGGTATATGGAAATTAACCACTTTGTGACCTGTTGGATATAGCTCCTGCCAACATTTTTAGCCTGTCAAGTTTCTAGGCACTGTCTCGATTTGGGAGCATTTGCTAGCCTCTGGCAGGCACCTGTGTAACTGTATGAATCTGAAGAAAGGGGGCTCATCTCACTAATCCCAGAGTTCACTTTGGACATATGTGTCCCACATAATTGTATCTAAATCCATATTAATTGCACACCCCCATTTCCACTCCCCCCCTTGATTTCAGCATATCTTCTCTTACCGAAAACACGTGGTATCCATCACAAATCCAAAGGAGAAAATAATTTGGTCATACAAAGGTTAATTGTATTGTTCATTTGTTGCCTTAACATATTTACATAATAAAAATGTTCTAAAGGTGGCTCATATCCTCTCAAACATGGCTCTCAATATCCTTGGTGGTTTTGAGGCGAACACAGAACACATAGTAGGGATCTGAGAAGTGATTTTTCTTCCTGCTTTCTTTGCAGATTGTTGCTCTAGTAGCTTTGCTCCATCATAATTTTGGACTGGATCGAGCGGCCCCCCAGCCTCCTTTTCAGTCCCATTTCTGTGGTATGTATTTTTATAAGCTGCTTTACTAATGACTTGATTTTAGTTTTCTTATTTTATCTCCAGCTGTTGAATCAGTATCTTGTGTGTGTGTGGTTTGTTTTTTTTTAAGAAAAATAATTTAAGAGTAGTTAGTGTGTATTGTTAAAGTGTTTTTTCAGCTGCAGAAACTTAAGTTTCATGAGCTTGGCTGCCTCCTAGCCAGCTGGCTTACTTTGTTTTAGGAGCAGGAAGGCGGCATTTTGAGAACATCTTTTTTCCCTCCCGTGCCAAAGGTTACTCTTTGGAGATTGAGCATTATAGAGAGTTTTTATTTATTTGTCGGTCTGTTTGTTCCGTTAACTATTGGTGCTTTAATGATTTTCTTCTCCTGATGTGATTCTAAAAACCCATCATAGCAGCCTGGCACAGTTTTGGTGTTGGTGTTGAGGCAAGTTTTTCAGGTATCTGCACAGTTAGGTATTTGTGAGGCGCTATAGTGATAGAGAATTGGAGTTGGGTCATATGGTGCATAAAATGCAGTAGGTGAAGCTAGTGTAAAATTCAGCATGAGGCAGTCAAGGAGGATTTCACGTTGAGAGCTTTTTTTACATTTTACTACAAAATAGGTGTTCGTAGTAAAAGAAGGGATTATTATGAACACTTTTGCTCTGTTATGGTGCCTGGGCTCTTTTTGGGTGCAGAAACAGATGTACTTGGGCATCATCTTCCGTGGGCGATAGGAAAACAGGACAAGGAAACGAGCAGAGAAGGAAGGTGGGATGTATTATTGTGGTGAAGTTTTACTAGGTGGGTTGGATTACATAGTACAAAATGATGATGAGAATAGCCTGCAAAGTATGTGGAAGGGTATTTAATTCATTCATGGTCCTATATGTTGGAGGGCAGTCATTAGATCATTTCAGCATGTGTTCATTCACCTTTTCGGTATGTGTCACTGGGTGACTGGCCAAGAACTCATGGTGTAATCAGGGTAGCTGTGGTCCTTTCTACTATTCGAACTTTGAGACAATCTGAATTCCTCCTGTGCATACTGCTGGATTGTTGGGGTGTGGGAAGGGGAGTTTCCTTTGGGAAAGATTTCTTTACATTTTCCATTTTGGCATAGATAAACAGCAAATGTTTGGTCAAAGCAGTTTTAATGATTGTAGGGACTTAGGGTTCTGTGCTTGCTTAGTCTTTCGAGGTTCAATGCGAAAACTGGACTCTAAACCCTTTAGGGAATGGGAGGGATTTATTTAAGTTGTTTTTAATTTGAGAACAGAAATTGGACTAAGATGAGTAATGGAATCTTTATTTTTTCCCTTCTCACAGCTGTGTCCAAACCACAGGACTGCATTTTTCCATATGATTTCAAAGAAATTATTATGCAAAAGGTAAAGAACTTGTTATTTATTCCTTTTACATATAAAGCATTTGTTTTGTAAAGAGACAAAAACCAGAATGATATGGACTAGTAGAAACGGGCAATTTATATATTAATTGATTAAACCTGTTCTTGCTAGATTGAAAAAAAAAAGTAACCTATTAAAAATGTATGAGGAAGATTAAGTTAGAAGCATTGTTTAATAATATTCAGCTGTTTGAACATATTTCCCCCTGAAAATCGTGGGATTCTACATGGATGTACGCTCAACTTCTCCTTTAGATAGCTTAATGGGAAGCTTTTCCGAAGTGCACAATCACATGTGGTAGTTTGAAACAGATTTTGGGTAGAGCCTCTTCCCAACTTAAAGGAAACCAAGTGAAGCTGGGAATGTTGGGGTTATTTAAGGGATAGGAATTGGAAAGGTTGATATGGGTTGGCCAAATTTGATCAGTGATCTTTTGACTCCCAGAATGCTCAATAAAGTTTTCAAAGGTCTCTGATTAACTGGGAAGAAAATAGTTTTTTCACACAGGTAAATACCATATATATTTGTATATAAGCCGATTTTTTTCCCAGCACACTTTTAGTGTAGTTTTTGTGGTAAAATTAAGTGCCTCGGTTGATATTTGGGTCGGCTTACACTCGAGTATATATGGCATATTTAATGTAAAGAACTTCTGTAGAAGAATATGTCCTTTGTCTTAAGAAATGGTGTTGGTAAATTTGTAGTTTACCTATTATTATAGAATTAACAGTTGGCAGTCTCCTAGGTGTCCATTTATTTACATTGGTTTGAGAAGCCTCGTAGCGTAGACCCTAGGGGACAAAGACTAGCCCAGTAGTCTAGGGGACTAGATAATTTGTTACTCCAGATCAGGCTATTATTTGTGATGTGCTTTGAATTGCCGATTCAACTAAAATGACCTAGAAAAATTCCATTAGAATCAAATTGATATTTTTTAAAACTTGAGTTAGCTGTAGAAAACATATAGCCATCAGCTTCCATTTTAAGAGATTTTTAAAAATGAGGGAGAACTTTTTGAGTACCTGATTTCTATTCAGCCATACAAGTGTGAAAGCTTTTTGTATGAGGATACATTTTCTTCACACTTATGACACTTGTAATTCTTAAATGCATATTTGTTTATAGTCTAGTTTCTTGCGGGTCCTTGAGCTACTATTTAAGATTAATTTTTGCAATCCTCGGGATTTCATTGTGTGATAAATACATAAACCAAAGTACTAGGAATTGTATGGTAGAGTAAGTGATATTTTGCTAGGTACTCTGATTCAGAGCTAGGAAATGTGTCCATATACACAAGTGTGTCCCTGTGGAGGGACATATTTGCACTTAAAAGTCTGCTTCGTTCACATGGTTCCTACTAGAAGGAGCTCCTCCGAGACGTATGCAGTGATTATTGTGAAGCTTTGGCTGAGGAACTCACGGCTGCATTTAGTTTCTACAGATTGGAAATAGATGGTTTCTTTTAACCCTCAGAAAAATCCCCTTTGTTGAAAAAGAGTCGAGGAGCAGCATGTTGAGAGTAAAGCATCAGTGACTGGTATGTTTTTACCTAACAGAAAATGAAGCTTGAGATTGCCTCAACAGAAAGAACACTGCTAGGTTTTTTCCTGGCAAAAGTCCACAAGATTGATCCTGATGTCATTGTGGTGAGTAGGTGCTCGATCATGTCATGGCAGAAGCGGTTCACTTCTTCTATGTAGTGTGGCTCTGTGGGGAGTTTTGAGCAGTACGGAATTTGTTCAGTGTGAAAGCACACCGTAGACGGGTAGGACTTGCTGTACTTTCTGTCAACGAAAAAGAAATCCTGACCCACTGAAAAGATGGGGTTTCATTAGATTTGGGTTTTTTCTTCTTTAATATAGAAGCAGCCCGTGAAGTACTGTTGAAGTTTAGCAAATACTGGCTCATTTGCCCTTACGCATCTGCGCAGAAGGAAGTAAATGTGTGTAAACAGTACTGCCAACATTTTGGCTTTGTAGCCCAGTGGCCACAGGGTTGGTTTCCTTGGCTTGGTGCAAATCTTAAGACTGTGTTTAAGTTTTCGGAGCTCAATGGAATGATGACATGTTCCTTGGAGAGTTCAGGACTAGGGGCATGTCTTGATGACTTCGTATGCCTCCAGCAGACAGCGAGAGCTAATAATTCACTGAGTGCGGTCTCTGCCTCAGTTGCTAAGATTAATAAAGCAACATACTGCTTTTTCGTTTCTCTGGATTTCCTTAGTTAGGCGATTCCTTGGGAAAAATTATTTTGTCTTTTTTTCCTGGGTTAAAAGGTCAAACCACACACACACACAATTGAAGAAGGCAGGCTATATACCTGTATTTCCAATGCAGAGTAAGTAATTTTGTTATATTGAGGCCTTGCAAAAAGTGTTTTGCCACCTCTTTCTGCATGTTTACGTTTATTATTGAATACCTTATATGGTAGTAATGGTATTCCTAAAGTCCCAAGAGAGTCCATGGACCAATGTGTTTGCATTCACCTCCTGATGTTTCAGGGACCAGCTATGAAGTGCCTGGAAGATCCTATCCATAATGCTTAGATGGCACAACACTCTGCCACCCTCCAGTAACAGGCTCTCTTGTGAATCTGAAGGACATGCTGTAGTGCCTGGGATGCCTGACCTGGCTTAGGGTGTGAGAACTGCTTCTGAGTGTGAGGAAGCCAAACAGATGTAGCAGAGAATATTGATGTGGGGTTGATAATTTTGACAGGAGAGTTCATCGTGTTCCATGGGTCTTTTATTCCCATAGACAGCAGTAGCCTAAACATCTAATGATATATTGTTGTGCACTGCTGTTGAATTGGTTCCCAGTTTTAGTGTGTACAACATAACAACACACTGTCCAGCCCTGGGCTGTCCTCACAGTTGTGCTGTCTTTATATCTGTGTGTGTTACTCCTAGCCACCCTCTATGGCTGTAAATATTCAGAGAAGCAGAAAGCCTCATCCTTGTACCTCAGCGCTCCTGGTGAATTCAAATTACTGACTTTGTGGTTAGCCCAACATGTAACCCCCTACACCTCCAGAGCTCCTATATGCGCTTGTGCTTTGTGTGTGTATAAATATATGTGTATATATTTAGCGTGTGTATGTTAAATACAAACACACAGTCCTCCATATCCATGGGAAAATATTCAGAGGGAAAATAAAAAGTAATTAGTGGTCACAGCAATCCCTCAAAGACTATGAGAGATCAGAAAGTGCTTTTTCGTAGTGTTTACATGGTGTTTGGTATTAGAAGTAATCTAGAGGTGAATGAACGTATAATAGGTGATCCATAGGCAACACGAGGGGCTTTACAAAGTTTGTGGGAAAATTCCATTCTCTCAATTTCATTTTTTCATGAACTTTCAGAGTCTCCTTTTATTCCATTACTATGTCATTTCTTTTTTTTATCGTTTTATTAGGGACTCATTCAACTCTTATCACAATCCATACATACATCAATTGTGTAAAACACATCTGTACATTCATTGCCCTCATCATTCTCAAAACATTTGCTCTCCTCTTAAGCCCCTGGCATCAGCTCCTCATTTCCCCCCTCCCTCCCCGCTCCCCTCTCCCTCATGAACCCTTGATAAGTTATAAATTATTATTTTGTCATATCTTGCCCTGCCCGACGTCTCCCTTCACCCACTCTTCTGTTGTCCGTCCCCAGGGAGGAGGTCACATGTAGATCCCTGCAACTATGTCATTTCTTAGACAGGACTTGACCATCTGCAGATGTGGGTATCTGCAGAGGTCCTGGAATCATGTATCGTATTTTGTTCATCTGTTAACAGACACTTGGGTCTTATGTACTATTCCCCTTTGGGGCCCCTTCTTACTAAAATGGTCAGGAACATGGACAAGTATCTGTTTGTATGTCCCTTCTTTTAAGCCTTTTGGCTATATACTTAGGAGTGGTGGGTTATTGTTTTAATGAAAATTGATAACAAATCTATTTTAAACTTTCTTTAGAAAACACCACATTATTTCCAAGAAGAAAAAGTGTTTTAGAAATGAAAACTGGTTGTATTTTTGATAGTTTTTGTTTCCTTCTTTCTTTACAAGTTTTAATGTTGAACTGTTTTGGGGTATTACATGTTTATTTTGTTACATATTACCGTGTACTTTCAAGTGTAAGCCGAGTTTTTCAGCCCATTTTATTGCAGTTTTTGTGGTAAAATTAGGTGCCTGAGCTGATATTTGGGTCAGCTTATACTTGAGTATATATGGTAGTTAAGAGATTAAATCAATAATGTTTGAACTTAGTACTTCAGGGAGAAAACTGAGTGCAGTTCCTGAGTTTGCTGAGAAGCCTCACGTAAACTACTACTCAGCATTGATGGGTTCTCTGTTTTTAAGAAAACTAAACACAGTTGTTTGCCTATGGCTTTACTGATCGCATGAGAAGTATGGGATGTCCCAAATGTGCTTTTGTCTTTGCGACTGTGAGGCATGATTTGCAAATTAAAAGGCCCTCTCTGAGCCTTGCATCAGTTAGTTTGAAACATAGTTTATTCCAGCAATCTGTTTATCAGCCTTGTTAATGTCAAAGCGAAATGAATGCTGCTCATGAATCAATTCCTGAAGAAGAAAGGACCCCCAATTGGAGGTAAGCTCATGATGCCATCAATTAGGGACCAGGGAAAAAAAGGGCAGAGAAATTCTGTGCATGTGAAGATAATCCTCCAATTTGCATTGCGTCCAACATTATTGACTGCCTTCTTTTTCTGACTAGGGCCATAATATTTACGGGTTTGATCTGGAAGTGCTACTGCAGAGAATCAATGCGTGTAAAGTTCCTCATTGGTCTAAGATAGGTCGACTGAAGCGATCCAACATGCCAAAACTTGGGGTAATAACCCTTTTTAAAATCTTGACGTCTGTATTTGGCTTTTTTGGAGGCAGGCATGGGGGGTGGGGTGGGCGGATGGAGGCACTTGCAAAGCCCACACTATGTTCTGAATGGGTCTTGGTTATCTTATAATGGGACATTTTCACTTGGCACTAAACATATTTTTCTGTGAGTCCATTTTGTGGGGAAGAGTTGCTGGTAGCTTTTCAAATGATTGGTTAGAATTTAGGGACAGGAAACTCAGACTAGCACAGCCATGTCACTGCCAAGCTGCATTTCTGACGTGATAGCCCTTAAAGCAGGTCCACGGGGTTCAGAAATCCTTGTCATTCAGAAAGAAGATGGGAAGGAAGAAATGGCAGGGAGCTACCACTGAAGGCATACAAAGACAGTGGCCTAGGTGCTTTATGCATTTGTTATTCTTCACATCAAACCCTCCCCCTCCTCTTTTTAAAACAGTGGACAGACATTCTCACATCGGTATAAATGGAAGAACTGGAATTTGAATTCAGACCCGTCTGACTCTTTAAAAACTTATGTTCTTTTCGTTCCACCTTCCACCAATTTGTTTCACAGATGAAAGACTCAGAGGTCTTTGTAGAAAGCTCCTTCCCTTCCTGAAGCCAATACTGCTCAGGGCTCAAAACCATATTTCATTGAAAGTTTATCAGTAAATGAGCATGTTGCCTCACCAGAGAAAGTTTTGGCCCCATGTCCATGCTCTGGATATTGCTAAGAATGTGTTCCTATTTTTTAAATGTGCCCCAAACCCTCCAGATTGTCCGTGTCTCTGGATAATGAATCAGTTTGCTAAATAAAATGTTGAGCACCTAACAGCTTTTTTCCTAGTCCCGTGTAACTTTTGAAGATCTCATGGAAAAGATTCCCTTTTCATATCTGCAGGAAGAGAGAGTTTTGGTAACATTTCTAAGACGAAAGCGTTGCTGTTTGTACGGAGATTCTATCATCCTTAGTCTGTAGAAATCTCCAACTGTCCATTGGCGGAGGAGGGAATATAATTTCCAAATCAGACCTCAGCTCTTGCCCAGGCAGTTGTGCCCGAGCCAGATGTATCCAATCCACACTGATGGCAAGATGTGGCTTTCATCGGGAGGCAGCCAAGGATAGTGGTTAACAGTACAGACTTTGGAACCAGACAGCCGAGCTTCCGTTTTTCCTTCTGCAAAATGGAACTAAGAATAGGACCTACCTTGTAGGGATTGGCCAGATTGATCATTGACCCTGTGCGAGTCCTGCTTCACAAATGATCTGTGGTGAAGGACTATACTATTACCATTTCTGCACATAGGCCTCTTTGAGGGAAAAACAACTACTTTTTCCCTTTTACTTATTTAGATGATTACTCATCTAAAACACTTTCTTATTTGCAATTTCAGTGTCTTTCCAGTGCCATCAGACATCTTTAGCTATTTTGCTCTTTGCTCTGCAGTGTTCTGAGACCCTAGAGCAGACTCAGTGTTTGTCCCTGGTCAGAGGAAGGTGATGGATGAGGGAGAGTGTCATCCTTATAATTTAGGGGGCAGCTTCAGGTGTCAGATTGAAGTGTTCTCATGCCCGTTCTTCCATGGGATTTTGTTTTTGCCCCCACCCCCAACAGAGCCGGAGTGGTTTTGGTGAAAGAAATGCTGCCTGTGGTCGAATAATCTGTGATACGGAAATCTCAGCAAAGGAACTGATTCGCTGTAAAAGCTACCATTTGAGTGAACTGGTTCAACATATTCTGAAGACGGAAAGAATTCCGTTGCCAATAGATGATGTCCAAATATTGTACAGGTATTTTCCTGGGTGCTTGGGAATTTGTGTGTTGAAATCAGTAATAGCCGGGAAACCAGTGCCATTCTGAGGCTGGAGGAGCAGGTGTGGGTGGTTCTTCCCAAAGGGAAAATGGTGTTCCTGCTGTGGGTCAGGTGTTGAACTGCTACCCACAAGGCCCGTGGTTTGAACTCACCAACAGCTTTGTGGAAGAAAGATGAGGGTGTCCGCTCCTATAAAGACTCAAAACCATATGGTCTCTGTGAGTCAGAATCAACTCGGTGGTAGTGGGTTTGAGATTTTTTTGGCAGGATTAATAACCATCCTCATGACTTTGATCATTTGGAATATGTTGCTAATCCTTGCCAACTCCCTCACCTCTCTTAGCACCATCTCTTAGTTATTTTCTAAGAGCAGTTTGGAAATGGATAAGAAGAGTCTTAGTTCTGTACCCAAAAATGTAAGTGTGAGGACAGCGCTCCATTAGGACAGAAATCCCTGTCTGATTTGGTCACACCCAGGGCCTGTGACTATGCCTGGCACATAGTAGACATGCAGTACATCCTTATTAGATGGAATGAATAGAAGGATTCAGGTTGCTTCCAGATTTGACATGGCACGCCATTGTGTTCTCTTGGGGGGTTGTGTGTGGGTGTGTGTGGAAGAAAGACTGGGCTTGGTAGCATGAAGGAATTCTTAGTCACATGTCGACCTTATTTTAAGTTATTTCCAAAGCAGGGGTGCTGTTGCCCCAATGTTACTTAATACCAAAAATTCTTAGCAGTATTTTTATGAAGTCTTGATTATAGTCATTGTTTCTTTTAATTGCTTGATTCTGTTTCATCCTGACTTTTCTGTACAGTAAATCTACTCATCTTCTGTACCTGTTGGAACACACCTGGAAAGATGCCAGCTTCACTTTGCAGATCATGTATGAGCTAAATGTTCTGCCATTAGCACTGCAGATCACTAACATTGCTGGGAACGTTATGGTAAATTTAACTCCAAAAGGGGGGAAAAGCATTTCCTGTTGGATTCAGTGTTTCCTTGGGGTAGTTGTTATATGATAATGAGTTTAAATGCATGCTTATAAAATGAGTAACTTGTATTCAGAAAGCTGGGCTTCTTTTGTAAAAGGAAGAAGTGGTTGGGAGAAAGGGAGGGATACCAGGTGCAGTACGTTGAAATTTGGGTGAACATTAGGATCATTGCGCTAAACATCTGGATGTGCCTGTTTTGTGGAATGGTCCATTTGGGAATAAAGAAATCGCCAACTTGTCAATATTTGAAGCGCTCTTTGTCTTCTGTGCAATCGTAATGCTTAAAGAAAATGCTAGGAGAAGAAAAAAAAGGGAGTTGCTTCATTTATTTATTTTTAAACAACCCTTGTTGCTATTAGGAATGGTTTTGAAGGAGATGCTGTGATTAAACTTAACCAGCTCACAGTGGTTTTGAGCTCACATTTTAAAAAAGACATTTTGTTTACCAGTCCAGGACGCTGATGGGTGGACGATCTGAGCGTAATGAGTACTTGTTACTTCATGCGTTTTATGAAAACAACTATATTGTGCCTGACAAGCAGATTTACAGAAAGCCTCAGCCAAAACTGGTGGGTCCAAACTTGTAGCGTATTTTGCCTTTTCTTCTGCCTCCTCTCTCCTTTTTATTACGTAGATGATTTTGTTGTTGTTTCTGTGATAACATCTGCATCCAAAATAACGAATCCCTGTGTGTTGTGTAGAAATAGTTTTCAAGTTTACTCCATTGTTGTCATTCCCTTCCCCACTTTCCCCTGTGCAGCTAGAAATTGCTTCATATGGAAGCTTTGAAGTGAGACATTGGGCCTCTCTGATGAGAGTGACCATGCAAAATTAAATGGCAGCTAGCTAACCCTTTTATTCCCTTTAGCCTATGACTGTTTTTTTTTTATTGTAAAATTTTTGGTTTTGCTTTTAATTTTTTCCCAAACCACTTTATTAGGAGCTAATCCAGACAGCATGCTATTTCATAGTTCAATCATAAGTACAATTGCTACCAAAATCAGTTTTCAAACATTTCCTTCCTCCTTGAACTCCTTGATATCAGCTCCCCTTTACCTGTTCTCCCCACTTCCCCCACTGTACCTCCTGGGAACCTTTATACTAGTTGTTTATCTCTATAGATTTTAGTTGGTATATAAAACCTAACCTGGGTTTTATATACCAAAAAACATAGATAAAGCACATTACAAAGAGTCAAGAAGGCTACCAACAATGACAAAATACAACATATAATCCCCAATATTAAAAACACCCACAGACAATATTAAGAACCAGATCATGCCCAAGGTGTGTCAGAAGGGAGATCAATTGACAAGGTTTTAATAGTTTAAGTCAGACTTATCATTTTCTACTCTTTATTTTTGTGTTGCATTTTTAATGATTATGGTCTATAGTACTGGAACAGAAATTTAGTATAGCTAAATTTGGACCACCACCGACAGTAATTGAATCAGAATGGGAAGTTAATGGAAGTTAATGTTTAAAATGTGATGCACGCTTTTTGTATTGCCTTATTTATGTTCATAATCAAAGTTGGTGTACGAAATATTAATTTAGAGGAATTCAGCTGGTGCTGAGATATTTTGTCTGTTCACAAATTAACTACTTGGGAATGAATTTTCAGCATATGGCTTTAAGTGGTCCATGTTAATAATGATAAATACAGATGGCAATACCTATTTGGAGTCTTTGATATTTTGGAATCATGAATGTAAACGTAGTGACTTTAAAGAGGGCACCTTTATTCGGTCTCAAATTTCATATTATATGAAAAGGCATATTTTTAGTAACAATCAGCTGCAAAATATAAAAGGTCTCCTGCAACATTTAAGAATGGAGTTTAACTATTTTTAATCACAATACCAAGGCATCACCATTTGCACAAATTGGAGAAGGGGAGAAAGTAACTCTGAGATACAGTTTTTGTTCAGGTAACTGAACAAGGCTTGAGATTCTTTGGAGGAGACTTGGCATTCATTTAGATATAGGAACATATTGCATTAATGTTTCTACCAGTAAAAACACGAACTAAAAGTAAATAATGTTCGTTGGAACTATTTATTGAAATTGGAAAATAAGGAGTTGAGTTTATTAGTTGTCAGCTGGTGATGTTGTCTTTTTGTTTACTATTAGGGAGATGAAGATGAAGAAAATTATAGCGAGACCAGTAAATACAAGAAAGGACGTAAGAAAGCAGCATATGCTGGTGGCTTGGTATTGGACCCCAAAGTTGGTAAGGCTGGTAGCTGATTGGTTTAACCCCTGATGTTTAAGAATTTCTTAGCATAGAGCTAGGCTTGAGAAGCTAGAAGACCTGCATTGTTTTACAAGGTAGGAAAATGATTTCCTGTTGACCTTCTTTTCCCTTTTTATGGTGAAAATCATGTTTGCCAGGGACCTGATATGGAATTGAATTTCACTAAATAACATGAATTCTGAGTAGGAAACGGTTTTAAGAAACGTTTTTACCATGTAAGGAAATGCACAGTACGCTTTGGTATTAGCTCGATCTGGTTTTGGTTTCTGACTGCATGATCTTGGGCTGCCTGCCTGTCCTCGGTAAGTTCCAGTTTGCTCCTCTTTCATGTGGACATAGGAGTAATATCCAACACAGGGATTTAAGAAATTAAAGAAAGACAGTGTTTGGGACAGAATAAGCCATACATGTTTACTGCTGTAATGGGTCTCTTAGTTGTGGACATTTAATTTTTTATTGTTTCTTCTCAAGGTGAAGATAACACTTATAAATGTCCTAGAGAAATATAGTAGCTCCTTCTGTTCGCTCTTTGAAGGGAAAAGAGTGGATCGTTATGCTACTGACATTTAATGTACTGGTATATGACTAGTTTCTGACTTTTAACCCAGTTGGTGTAGGTAAATGCTTTTTGCATTGAAGAATCCCTCACTAGTACAGGCCACTTAACTTTCAGGGATGGGAATGGGAGAGTAGGGAGAGAGGATGGGGACTTGAAGGAGAATTTAACAGTACTTTTAAAAATGGCTGAGACCACTGTCTGAAGTCATTAATATGGGGAGCCTTGGTGGCATAATGGTTATGTTAATGGCAAGGTCAGCAGTTCGAAATCACCAGTTGCTCCTCTGGAGAAAGACCAGGCTTTCTACTCCATTCTGGATTTATAGTTTTAAAACCCATAGGGGCCATTCTATTCTGTCTTTTAGGGTCTCTGAGTCAGAATTGACTTGATGGCAGGGAGTTTGCCCATAATGATATACTTTGGCAGCAGCTGGAGAGAGGACTGGTTGTAGCTGGTTCCAAGTCAAGACGTGATCTTGCCTCTTGCAGTTTTTGTCCCATTTCTTTTGTGGCCTGGGTTTTCCCTTTATTCTACATTATGTTATAGAGTAGCAGTATACTATTTTTTTCTTTTTGTCTGCATCATGGCTCAGGCAAGTTTCGTTTTTTTAATGGGTTCCTCATTTTTTTAAATTTAAATAATTTTATTGGGGACTCTTACAACGCTTATCGCAATCCATATATACATCCATTGTGTCAAGCATATTTGTACATTTGTTGCCCTCATCATTCTCAAAACATTTGCTTTCCACTTCAGGCAAGTTTCTAATATGGCTGTATATTTCTAATGTGACCTTTTGACAAATCTGTACTTCTTTAGATTTTTTTTTTCTTCACATGCGCCTTCTTTATTTCAGGTTTTTATGATAAGTTCATTTTGCTTCTGGACTTCAACAGTTTATACCCTTCCATCATTCAGGAATTTAACATCTGCTTTACGACTGTACAAAGAGTGGCTTTTGAGGCACAGAAAATTACAGAGGTTTGTAACTGAACTGGGTCTCTTTAAACTGAGGTTAAAAGTGGTGCTTATAAAGGAAGGAGAACCAAAGCAGTTCACTTTCTAGTGTTTCCTCTTTTTTAAAAAATCATTTTATTAGGGGCTCATACAACGCTTATCATAATCCATTCATACATCAATTGTGTAACGCACATTTGCACATTCATTGCCCTCATCATTGTCAAAACATTTGCTCTCCACTTAAGTCC